ACAGTTGAAACATTCATCCACACATTCCAATACAAACTGGTCATTACAAGTCCTTAAACCTGTCAATATCAAATGCTTATATCTGCACAAATCAAATGCTTATAATAGTCAAAAGTAACTGAGAAAATACCAATGGTTGTTTTACTCAACGTAAACAAAAGTGACCAAATTCACACTTTGCAATACAGCAATTTATGAATGAAGCAAACAAACAAATGGCTGCCATTTACATGAATTCACCTTGAATAAATATGTATTTTAACGTAAATATAAAGAAAAACAGACAGTTAAATACTGAGTTATATATATGTGCGTGCGTGTGTGTGTGTGTGTGTGTAAATCCTTATGTGTGTCAAAAAATTAAGTCTTTATACCTGTCAAATGTAACTGAAATGCAACTAAACACAAAGATGATTCTAATAACTCCAATAAGAGAACATGCATTGAAAAGTAATCAATAATCAGGAAAAAAAAACATGAAAATCAAGTGCTCAGCAAAGAAAATCAAATGATGGCACAATGTCAACATTAAAGACAAATGACAAAATCTCCACGCAACTACAATTAAATTCCATTGTATAACTGAAAACTTACCAAAGCCTTTGCAGGTTGAAAGAAGAGCGCCGATTGTTCTCCGGGACGGTTGTGTGGACTGTGAAGGGGGATGAGGGAGAGGGGGACAGCCGAATTCCCTTTTTCAATCACATCCCTCTATGGCACAGCAAAAAGTTTCCAAATAAAAAATTACAGCAAAACCAGAGCTGTTAAACGTACAAACACCTTGGCGTTATCATGCACTAATTTCACTTAAATGTGCGTATGCTACTCATTGCGTAGAGGCTAACAACATGACAGAAAAACAGAAACAACACAAGAAAGTGACTGTGAGTGCAGACAGCCCGTCAGATGAATTCAGCCTGCAAGCCCACTTCACTCTGCTAGCCTCTTAGCTAGCTAAATAAAGACGTCGTACCCTTTTACATTGCAACAGAATGCATTCAAAAGCTTTAGTATCCCACCTGCTCGTGAACGGAGAAAGTCCTCTCGAAGAGCAATGCGTGAAAATAATAAAGCTCAAAAGGGCGCCGAAAGCGTAGATGTGCACAAAGGCGGTTTCCGATTTCAGGTTAGCAGGTCATTTTTCCTCATCCCGTGGAAAAACACTCTCGCAGGCCTCTCCATCGCTTTCGATCCGTTAAACAAACCCCAATTTCCGCTGGCTGCGCTCGCTAACGCTCAACCTCGCGCGAGATCGTTCTCATCCTAAGATTCCGACCGAAACTGCCCTTCCAGTCCGTTTTCCGCTGAAATTTTTGCGGATTATGGTCGGCCAAATATTTTCCGCCCCGTGTCAATTTTTAGTGCCCCCGTCTTCCTTTGGGTACTTCTGTTCGCCTCACAGTGGTCGTTTCCGGACAGTGATACAAGTTCCGGGTGGTGTTACATGTTAAAACGTCCGACATTGTCCTGCTTAGCGTACTGAAACCAGTATGTGATGAAGTGGGGTCAAAGAAAGGCTTTTTCATTCTATAATGTATTTTAGTTTATTGAGGTAGGCTGACAGGGACATGGTGCGTAACTTTCAATAAAACACCCCGAACCTTGTATTTGACGGTATTCGTCGTACAGTTACGGGGTAACAAAACGCACATTTCACGAGTTTCGCGCGCGAGACTCAAAAACATCACATTTCATCTCTCTTGCGCTGCGCGTTGACTGATACAAAACAGCCAGTCGGAACAGCTGTTCCGCGCACATGCGAGCCAAATTAATTAGAACAGTTCTTTCATGTTGCAAGAGAACGCGCGCAGCATTTTTAGACAGCACATATATTTTGGAAAGGATGCAGGGCACAGCACCTCTCTGAAGCCATTTTACCAACATGCCGCCGTCTCTCCCCCCCACCCTACCCTAACATAAGGTCCTCGCCCACCCTGCCCCTCAAAATGGCGAATGCCGGTGATGCCTCGTCCGTCTCCCTCAGGAACCATTTAAGAACCTGAAACGGCCCGTTTTAGATCAATAACTACAAAACATTATACTGCAGACAAAAGGATTTGATGTCAAATAGAAATACAATGTAGCCTACACCATAGCAATAGAAACTAAATAAAAAAAGCTAGGTTTAAACAATATTTTAGACCACTAAATATAAAGAAAATTAAAAAGATGAATGAGTGCAAGTGAATGAAAAGCTGAGATTTATGGTAGGCCTGTGTAAATGTGCAGAACCCACTTTGAACCTTTAAACAATACATCAGCCACTTCATTATTCTCTCTCTCTCTTTCATTGTTAACATAAACCATCCACACATTCTAATCCAAATAGATCCTAAATCATATAGCTGTCAAAAGTTGCTAAATGAGTTGCATCTGTTTAACAGACCACTGGCTGTGTTACCCAATGTAAACAAACAATCCGAAAATCAAAATACTCAGCACATAATATATTGGGATGTAGGCTAAGCATCCCAAAACCATATAGGGGCGAGTGGGGACTGTTGCAACATGGCTTATTTCTTCAGTCAGGAATGAGCTACAGTGATGATATTCATACTACACATGCTCAATCAGCCCCTCATCCTTCCTGGATTTGACCATTCCTTCTACAAATATTAATTTTCATGCTAAAAAGGTATTTTTTTAATTAATCCGATTTTTTGTCATACTGTCTTAAGTTGTTTGTGTGAAGCATTGTAAAAGCACATGATTTATATGTTTTCTTAGCTTCTAATTGGCATAGCTAGCACGTGTCAAAGATATTCCCCTTGTCCAAATCCCCACCGCTCCGCATGCATCATGTTCTGGAAATAAATCGTGAGACTTTTTGCCAAGATCGTGCGAGAGGTCACGGAAACCTTTCCAATGTAAGTTAAATATTAACCATAATAAGATATTACATATAATTTGGTAGTAAAACAAAGTGCTACACATTTTATTGCTGCAAAGATTAGTATATTTATTTTTGTACAACATTTGCAACTGCTTTTTATCACTTAATTAAATTGTGTCATCTATAGGGACTACTGAACAGACATTTAGAAGTTAATTTTAAAATGCAAAGTATTGAAAATAATAATAAAACTCTGTAAACACTTTGCGTTTTTACAACACTATAAGTGTGTCCCATCAGGTAATGAAAAGTTGTACACACACTTGTGGTCTTCATGCTCACTTGAACACTTGGGCCAAATACAGGAAATATGTCATATAAGTAGTCAAGTGGTCAAGTGCAAAGACCACAAGTGTGTGTATTCGGACAAGGCAATAGTGTCAAGCTAATATACCAAGTTTTATCAGGCTGTCAGGCTGACGTTGTTGCAACCGTCCCAACATGCTGTCCCTAACCACAACATTGATGTAAAAGCTTGCCACAACATTACATAATTGTAATTTTATGGATTAATAAAAAACCCCTTTCAATAGTAAGGTATTTCTCTTTTTTATTTAAGTAAAAGTGGACTCATGTCAGTTCCATAAAATAGTAGATTTTTCTAATTTTAATTTTAAAAAAGTAAGACCATAATTGTAATTTTATGGATTAATAAAGAACCCCTTTCAATAGTAAGGTATTTCTCTTTTTTATTTAAGTAAAAGTGGACTCATGTCAGTTCCATAAAATAGTAGATTTTTCTAATTTTAATTTTAAAAAAGTAAGACTGATTACCACTCGGTTAACTGCTAGTTGGTCAAACTAGTTCTTAAGACAGTCTTAAGATAGTGGCTATGTTTATGCAATGGCCTCAGATCAGTAACCTTTCACAGATGTTAACGGAAGTAGGCTATTATTAAATTTCAGTGTCTTGATTTTGATTAAATTAATATTTTGTATTTCAAATGTATTGTAATAATTAACCAACACATGGTTGTTCCCCATTTACTATTCTTTGTTTTTATACAGCCAATTTAACTTATTAAAGACCATGTCTATGCACAAATAACATTAAGAAATTGCAAAATGATATTTAAGAATGGTTTTAATTACATTTTAATGAATGTTGCAACTGCCCCTGTGGACTGTTGCAACCGTTCCCGGTTGTGGGGTCAGTTGCAACACTTGACTTTGCCTATTCAAGTATAAATTGTATGTATATAATCATATGTGCACGTGTTACAGCAATGTGGGTGAGTAGCTGACTGATGTGGCTTTATTGTATTAAAATTCTGGCTTTCTAATGCAAAGTCTCTGAGAAACTAAAGCAAATGCAAAAAGTGTTGCAACCGTCTCCACTCTCCCCTAAACATGTAAAACCAACAAACATATTTAATAATTCATGAGAAAAAGTACACAAGTACACACCAATCTTTCTTAACGATGAGGATTTTATTTAAAAATAATAATAATTAAAGTTTTTGCTGTAAATATTTTATGCATGGCATTTTGGCATTTTCCCCCAGAAAATTTACAACAAGGTTTATGTATCTCATGGGAAAAACAAACAAACAAAAAAATTATATTTAAAAAAAAAAAGACACTAAATACTCTTGTGGTTATTTTGTTTTCCATAACTTTGGTGAATGCAGTGATTGAAAATGATTTTTTTTGTTAATTTTTGTGTTTTTTGCATTCAAAGAGACACTTAAAAATAAAATTATATTTTGGGTTTTCTGAAATGCACATTCTCTGACTTCACACAAAGCAAAAGTCAGATAAAATGCGAGATAAAGCATTCCAAAATAGACACTGAAATACACACAAGCACACAAATACAGACACACAAACTTGGACACATACACACCTTGACATCAGAAGTCAGCAATATGACATCATCAACACTGGCTTTGACATCTTCATGCGTTTTGTCTTTTCACTATGATTGCATCTGCTTTATTGTCGAGTTACAAAGGTTAGAATTCACTAGAAACTCAAATACAAACAGAAAACAGGAATTAAAAACAATTTCTAAAGTCACAGAGGAAAAAAAACAAAACAAAGTTTATAATCAAGAATATTAATAATATTGATGACTATATATTTATGTATATATATATATATATATATGCACATAAATTGGCATGTGTACATATTTGAACATTCGGGATTTAATTCAAATTTTTTTTACCTTTTTTTCAACGCCTTTAAATTGAGTTAAAGTTAATAAAAGCTTAAACATTGCAGAGTGATCTAAAATACTATATTATGGCCCAATAATCTTGCTCAGCCAGGTCGTTCTCAGACATTCCACCACAACAGTGTCCATTTGATGTGGAGACAGCTGAAAAAAACTGAAATTGCTAACAAAAAAGAAATTTTTCTTGAATATAGTATAGATAAACAAGACACTTTTTAATCCTAAATCCTAACTCATTGGTTAGATAATAATGCATCCTAGAGTGACACAGAGTGTTTGAAGTAGCTTTGCAGATTTTGTTCTATTTTTCTGTTTTGTACACTCATTGGCACGTAGCCTCTATGTTCCGCACAGCCGTGTCACGGGAAAAGATAAAAAGCCGTCAGAACACGGAAGCACAGACACAAATGAAGAAGTTTCAGAATAGCCCTTGGATTAAATTGTCCATTGTATAACCAACCCTTTCCCCTTTCCCCCCCAATACAACAGCTTGAGTAACAAATTAAGTTTGAAGAGTATGCTGTCTTATTTGACATTACTGCATGCCCATGATTAAATCTCAGCTCTTAATGCTTATAAATAACAGAACAACCGTAATGACTCCAGGACGTCATACGAAGCTGTTCTCTGATTGGTCAAACATGCAAGAAGGCGGCATGACTTCTATCACATTTTAATGGCTGAATTCATTTTCCAAATGTCTGTCTGCTCAAGCATTTTTAGTTCAGACTTGATTTCCCCATCAATGAATCCGACAGTCTTCTCATCATATTATAAAACAGCCAAAATTGTATCCACAATGCAAAAAAATCAAACTGACAAGTATTCATGTCAGTTTTGATTCACAGTCTCAATATAAGTGGCTAAAAATCTCTGATCATCAGTATAACACCCGTCTCCCAATGTTTTCCTCCATTATACTCCATTTGAATAAGCTCTAATATGGCTGATGGCATTTGGACTAATATTAACAGTGCAGACTAAAGAGTCAGGTCACAAAACGAGTGACATTTTTCAAGTTCTCAAGTTCTTCTCTCTGACGAATTACCAGTGTTTTCTTCACTTGATGGCAAACTGCTTAACGTGCACAATAATCCATTCCCAAGTCAAGGCAGATCTGATTTGAGACAGGTCAAATCATAGTTTCCGTGAGGTAATTCAGTGTACTATTGGACACATGTCAGTTTCATACAGTTTATCTCATTGTTCGCTTATTTTATTGATGATTGTGACGCACCTCTTTGAGAATAACACTTTGCATTGAATGAAACCAAACATTTGGAGGCAAGGCCAACTGTATCATTGGATTCAGGAAAAATACATTAACCCCTAAACCAATTGGCTTTTACATCAGCTCGAATGTACTAAATAGAGAAAACGGCCTATTCTAGTAATGAAACTTTTCCTTTTTGCATCTCCTCAGATCATGTCTAAATAGTGCCATCGAGACACTATATGCTACTCCCAGGTCAGAGGAGACCTGGGCCCTTCCTTCTTCACATTTCTATTTATGGAGAATTTGGCAATTTAGGGATCAACAGAATCACTTCTACTATGGTTTTTACATCCCTCTTTCTCTCAATAGCAATACACGGTGTATTCCATTCATTTGGGCCTGATTTCTGACCCCTTTCTTATTTCCTTCCTCCTTTCTAATCTTCAGCCTTCTTTACACTCCACCGTCTTCCCTCCCTTTGGCTTGCGCAATCACACCTCATCTATCCATCGTCTCCTTACCATCTTTCTTTTTGCGCTCACACGGTTACTTCATTCTTGCTCCCCGTCCTCAGTGCCTGACCTCCACCCCCTGCACCTCCTCCAGGAAGGAAATGCAGCTGTTCGATGGTGTTCTGGCGTTTCGTGGCGAAGGCCATCCGGCGAGCACTGTGCGCCATTGCTCCGGGTCCTCCTCCGGAGCCGTGGACCTCCCCCCATCCCAAAGACCCGGCCCCGTGGCCGGAGGACATGGTGGCGACCGTGTGGTCTTGCTCACGGCCGGAGGTAGGGTGCGAATTCATTTTGATCATGTGATGGCGGTCGAGCGAGGGCGTCACGCACACGTTCTGCTGGGATTGCGCTTTCTGGTGGTGCGTGAGACGAGACATGGTGGGCCCCATCCCGCCGTAATCACCCATCATTCGCTCCTCCAGGCGGTCTGGAGAGACCAGGAGGCGTTCATGAGACTTGCGTAAAGTCTGGGTGTTGGAGCTCTTGCTGGTGGTCATGTGTTTGTAGTACTGATGCTGCTGGTTCTTGGAGAGGTGTGAGAGAGTGTTCCCCTCCCCCAGCGTCAGAAGCTGGTCTTGGGACATCACCCGGCGAGGTGGTTTACTCATCGTGTCAAACGTGGGGTTGTACGGAGTCTGGGGTAGAGGATAGGGGTTGGGGGTGGAAGTGGGCACGTAGATGCGAGTGCAGGACGTGTTTAGCGGGAGGGTACCCCGGGCACCCAGTGTGAAGTCACCACCCCAGGGAAGGTGGTGCTGGGAGGAGTGAAAGCTGGGAGGAGCATTATCTGGCCTTCGCTTGGAGGTGTAATATCCAGAATATTCATCCATGTTTTTCTCTGTAGTAAGGAAATATGAAAATTAGTATCTTTCATAAATTTGACCCATTACTCCGGTCATTAACAAGCGTTTTGGTGATCAGACCACATTAAAATGATGCAATGTGATTGAATTTCTGAATACACATTTGGAAGTTGTCTGGCATGGATGTTAATCACATTTAATGAAGGTGTAATATGCAAATGTGTTTTCCACATTCAGCTATGCAAGTAATTTTATAATGCTAAAAATAATCGCTAAAAACGCTGGGTTGCAGATGTTTTGGTAACACCTCACAATTAGGCTCAGTTCGTTAACAGATCATGCATTAGGCCTTATGAACTAACAATGAACAATATTTTACAGCATTTATTAATGGTAGTTAATGCTAATTTTTATATTTCTATCCTTAATATTTAATATTAATAAAGCATATAGTTTAATATTAACAAAGTATATATTAATATAATATCTTAATATTTTAATAACAAAGAACAAGTATATATTTATGAATTATTTTAAACTAGATGCTGTAAAAATGGTTAATTTTTAGTTCATGACACTCAATGCGTTATCTTTAGTCAATATCTAAATACGTATTTAATTATTTAAACAAACTACAGGGTTAATAAAGAAAGGAACAGCATGACATGATGGAAAGAAATCTGAATAATCCATCACCATTTATAAAATTAATTTAAATTCATATATAACTGACATAATCTCAGTTTAGCAACCTCTTTTGTATTATGTATGTGGAGATTTGCATTTTGTGTGGTAAAGTGAGATCACACCATCCAATCACACTCAAGTTGAATGTGTAAAATGTAATCTGGCTAAAATACACAGATAGTATCCAGATATGAAATGTATGCTAATGCTAGGTATAAATAGAGGTTAATCTCAACCCTTTTTAAAAAGCCATTTTAGGCAAATACATTTTTGTTGTAGTAAGTTCCGATTTTTTTCAATTACAGTTTTCGAGCGTTGATTGAATATGAATATGATCAACTAAAATAATAATACTTTTTATTTATATAGCGCCTTTCGAAAAACCCAAATATATTTCTTCCCCAGTCATGCTGATAAAACTAAACATGCAAAAACTTTCCAATGCCACAGGGCATCCTTCCTAAAACAGTAGCGGCTGACCCCATGCTACACTCCCTCACAGAGACCCTCTGAGTAGTAGCAGTTCTGAAATGCAGTACACACTCTCTTTTTCAGACGCACACTCACCTAGTCTCTTGAGGGAGCTGTAGCGGTTGAGCTCTGGTTTCATGACGGTCTCGTATGATGGAGGTAGCTGGGCAAGGTTGTGGAAGGAGTGAGAGAAGGAGGGGTGATAGCCAGAATTATTGTGCTTGCTGGACAGCAGTGTTCCTGTTGAGGCCAGCTGGGTGTTGTTCATGCGTGGAACTCGCTCTAGGAGAGGAGAACAAAAGACAATAAGACAAACACCAACAACTGATGTGTTCAAAACATATCTATCTGGGTCGAATGTAGAATATGGGTGACTGGAACACTGAAGCTGCATCCCGAGTCTCTAAATGACGACGGCAGAATCACTTAGAATACAATGGAACTGGAACGTTTGTGTAGAGATGTGTGACTAGAATATGGTCTTATTCGTTGTTCCCTTAAATTTTATATATCCTTATATAATGATAATATCCTTATTCATGTGGTAATTTGTTCCACAGACACTTTTATAAGTAATTTGCAGTGCACGTAGAGAGAGAGTCCCCCCGGAGCTACCTTGGGTTAAGCACTTCAGATTAAATGTAGTCAAGGGCACAGTGGTCACAGGGGAACTCAGCAACTCTCCAGTTCATAGATCATCCTTGCTGAGATTTGAACTGAAGTACCTTGGAGTTAGCAGTCCAGTTCAGTCCACCAGCCCCAATTCGCCATGGCATGCAACATTTGCTATTTTGACTCGTGAAGTCAAAGGCTTTTAATTTTACTTTAGAATAAAACTGTTATGATTCTCACATATATGTTACAAAATATAGTATATAAATGTGACCCTAGACCACAAAACCAGCCACAAGGGTCGATGTTTGATATTGAAATGTGAAGATTTATATAATCTGAAAGCTGAATAAATAAGCTTCCTATTGAGGTATGGTTTTTTTAGGATATGACAATATTTGGCCGAGATACAACTATTTGAAAATCTGGAATCTAAAGGGGGCAAAAAAATCTAAATATTGGGAAAAGTTGTCCCAATTAAGTCCTTAGCAATACATTACTAATCAAAAATTAAGTTTTGATGTATTTATGGTAGGAAATTTACAAAGTATCTTCATGGAACCAGATTTTTACTTAATATCCTAATGATTTTTGGCAAAAAAAAAAAGAAAATATTATTTTGATCCATACAATGTATTGCTGGCTATTGCTACAATATACCCATCCGACTTATGACTGGTTTTGTGGTCCAGGGTCACAAATATCATATAGTATATAATATTATATGCTATATTTAATGATATGTATATAAATAAATGAAAATAAATAAATGTACAAAAAAAACCAAGAAGAACCCCCAAAAAAGTACATTATAAATGATGTGTTAATAAACAAAATTCCTCTTTCGGTTTTACAATTTCCTTTCCACCACCCACACTCCCAGAAACAAAACAATAAAAAAAGAAAAGAAGAAAAACAGACAAAATAATTTTATCTGGGATGTGAGCCATTTAGAAACTGAAATGAGAATGCATTTTAAGTTCGAATTCAGTTTCTTAGTATGAATTTGTATTGAGGTAGCATTTCAAGAAATGAAATATTTCAACTTCAAGTCTTGAAGACTGACAGATCATAGATAGATAGAACGATAGAATGATAGACAGTTCGAGTTCAAATCTTTATTGTCATTGTAACGTACAACGAAATTAAAGTGCCATCCAATCAGTGCATCACTCATGATCAACAAAACATATAAAAACAGCTAAATATTAAAAATAATAATAAAACACACACACACAGCATACATTGTCATTATTGCCCCGATCTCTTATTGCACATCAAATTATGTTTTAGCAGCATTGAGTGTGGTAACTGCTGTTGGATAAAATCTGTTCTTAAATCTATTAGTCCTTGTTTTAATTACTCTGTACCATCTACCTGACGGCAGCAATTCAAAGAATGAATGTCCAGGGTGTGAAGTGTCCTTTATAATGTTCTGGGCTTTTTTAAGGCAGCGGGAACGGTGTAATTCTTCCAGAGTGGGGAAAGGGCATCCAACGATCTTCTGAGCAGTTTTAATAACCCTCTGAAGTGTTTTCTTCTGTGCTACTGTGAAGCTACTGTACCATACACATATACAGTACGTGAGGTTGCTTTCAATGGAGCTCCGATAAAAGGAAACCAGCAGTCTCCGGGTGATGTTGTTCTTCCCGAGCACCCTCAGGAAGTGCAGTCTCTGCTGAGCCTTTTTCTGCAGCTCAGAGGCATTCACTCTCCCCAGTTGAGATCCTCCTCAATGTGGACTCCCAGAAAGCAGAAGTCCGACACCCTGTCCACCCAGTCCCCGCTGATGTACAGTTGCGAGATGTCTGTTTTCTTCCTCCTGAAGTCAATAATGACTTCCTTGGTCTTTGAGGTATTGAGTAGCAGATTGTTCTCTCCACACTATACTGTCATCCGCTCCACCTCGTCCCGATAAGCAGTATCATCCCCCCCGGAGATGAGCCCCACCACTGTGGTGTCGTCTGCAAATTTGATGATGGTATTACTGTGGTGGGTAGGGTACAATCATAGGTATACAGGGGGCTCAGCACACAGCCCTGTGGGGAGCCAGTGCTGAGACTAAAGGTCATTGCACACCGAAAATGTTGTCCGAAATTTTGGCACGTTAAAAAATAAATACGACCTCACGTTATGTCAATCACGTTTACACACTGCCTCGGAAATATTCGTTAAAAAAAATTCGGATCGGGTTTGATTTTTTCCGTTTTTTGCATCCGTAACAAGCATTTTGAGAGGTGTTTTGACAGTTCAGAGCCACCGTACAAGCGAACGCCAAAATCCAGAATAGCGACTGTCAAGTTCATCTACTTCGTCTCGCAGCACAAAGCACTGTAGATCCTTGCACACGGAGTTCACAGAAATTGGAACTTCGGAAATTGGAGTCTTCTTTTTAATATGTGGCTCTAGTATCGCTAGCAAAAGCATCAAACTGAGCCACTGACATCCTGAAGTAAACTTTGAATCGCCCAGGATAATCCCGCTGCTCCTGACGGGGAACTCTCTGTCCTCTCTATATCTCAGATTTGGATGGACCCAATATTTCCTTTCTTTTTCTTTTTTTAAGAAGCGAGAGGACAACAAAATCATCCTCACTGCTTGAAGACTCCATTTAGTGCTGTTTTGCGCATTGTTTCGCAACGGATTAATTAATACGCATCGGACTCTGTGTGCAAGGTTTCTGTGCGTGACGAATTTTTAGGATTTCAAATACGAAAGGACAACAAAATCATCCTCACTGCTTGAAGACTCCATTTAGTGCTGGTTTACGCATTGTTTCGCAACGGATGAATTAATACGCCTCGGACTCAGTGTGCAAGGTTTCTGTGCATGACAAATTTTTAGGATTTTGAATACGAAAAAAGGGAAAGGGCATCCAACGATCTTCTGAGCAGTTTTAATAACCCTCTGAAGTGTTTTCTTCTGTGCTACTGTGAAGCTACTGTACCATACACATATACAGTACGTGAGGTTGCTTTCAATGGAGCTCCGATAAAAGGAAACCAGCAGTCTCCGGGTGATGTTGTTCTTCCCGAGCACCCTCAGGAAGTGCAGTCTCTGCTGAGCCTTTTTCTGCAGCTCAGAGGCATTCACTCTCCCCAGTTGAGATCCTCCTCAATGTGGACTCCCAGAAAGCAGAAGTCCGACACCCTGTCCACCCAGTCCCCGCTGATGTACAGTTGCGAGATGTCTGTTTTCTTCCTCCTGAAGTCAATAATGACTTCCTTGGTCTTTGAGGTATTGAGTAGCAGATTGTTCTCTCCACACTATACTGTCATCCGCTCCACCTCGTCCCGATAAGCAGTATCATCCCCCCCGGAGATGAGCCCCACCACTGTGGTGTCGTCTGCAAATTTGATGATGGTATTACTGTGGTGGGTAGGGTACAATCATAGGTATACAGGGGGCTCAGCACACAGCCCTGTGGGGAGCCAGTGCTGAGACTAAAGGTCATTGCACACCGAAAATGTTGTCCGAAATTTTGGCACGTTAAAAAATAAATACGACCTCACGTTATGTCAATCACGTTTACACACTGCCTCGGAAATATTCGTTAAAAAAAATTCGGATCGGGTTTGATTTTTTCCGTTTTTTGCATCCGTAACAAGCATTTTGAGAGGTGTTTTGACAGTTCAGAGCCACCGTACAAGCGAACGCCAAAATCCAGAATAGCGACTGTCAAGTTCATCTACTTCGTCTCGCAGCACAAAGCACTGTAGATCCTTGCACACGGAGTTCACAGAAATTGGAACTTCGGAAATTGGAGTCTTCTTTTTAATATGTGGCTCTAGTATCGCTAGCAAAAGCATCAAACTGAGCCACTGACATCCTGAAGTAAACTTTGAATCGCCCAGGATAATCCCGCTGCTCCTGACGGGGAACTCTCTGTCCTCTCTATATCTCAGGATTGGATGGACCCAATATTTCCTTTCTTTTTCTTTTTTTAAGAAGCGAGAGGACAACAAAATCATCCTCACTGCTTGAAGACTCCATTTAGTGCTGTTTTGCGCATTGTTTCGCAACGGATTAATTAATACGCATCGGACTCTGTGTGCAAGGTTTCTGTGCGTGACGAATTTTTAGGATTTCAAATACGAAAGGACAACAAAATCATCCTCACTGCTTGAAGACTCCATTTAGTGCTGGTTTACGCATTGTTTCGCAACGGATGAATTAATACGCCTCGGACTCAGTGTGCAAGGTTTCTGTGCATGACAAATTTTTAGGATTTTGAATACGAAAAAAAACGCATACGAAAATTTCGGCCTTAAGGGCCATAGATGTATGTGAGCCCATTTTCACCCTCTGGCTGCGACCAGACAGGAAGCTCTTAATCCATGTACAGGTGGAGTATGGAAGTCCCAGGTCTACCAGTTTGTCCACCAGTTTGTGAGGGAGGATGGTAATAAACGCAGAGCTGTAATCCACAAAGAGCAGCCGCACGTATCTCCCCTCCTGCTCCAAGTGGGACAGCGCAGTCTGGAGGGCTGTAGCTATGGCATCCTCCATGGATCTGTTCGTCCTGTATGCAAACTGGTATGGATCAAAGGTCGGTGGAAAGAATGAAGTGATGTGACTCCGTACCAGTTTTTCAAAGCACTTCATCTGCAACTGGCCGGTAGTCATTGAAACTATTAATGTGGGGTTTCTTAGGCAGGGGAACTATGATGGAGGACTTCAGGCAGGGTGGTACCATGAACTGGGACAGGGACTGGTTGAAAATCCTGGTGAAGACTCCAGCCAGCTGGTCCACACAGTCCTTTAGCACGCGTCCAGCGTTACCGTCAGGTCCAGCAGCCTTTCTCGGGTTTATGGCCCGCAAAGTATGCCTCACTTCAAACTCCTCCACTGTGAGGGTGAAGTTGCTGTGGGCCGCAGGATGATGTGTGGCTGTGTCTGGTTGCTCCATCTCGAAGTGAGCAAAGAAGAAGTTCAGCTCCTCTGCCAGCAAGACGTTACCTTCTGCAGCACCGAGGTTAGTCCTGTAGTTGGTGAGATGCTGGACTCCCTGCCACACCTGCCTGCTGTTGTTGCTGTCCAGGTGGTCTTCGATCCTCCTCTTATAGTCCAATTTGGCCTCTCTGATGCCTCTCTTCAGGTTAGCTTGGGCCACACTGTAGAGAGCCCTGTCGCCACACCTGAAGGCGGTGTTCCTTTCCTTCAGTAGCCGCCGAACATCACCGTTCATCCAGGGCTTCTGGTTGGGATAGACCTGGATGCATTTGTCCACAGTGACGATATCTATGCAGTTCTTAATGTAACACAGAACACTGTCCGTGAACACCTCCAGGTCTGGATGTTCAAAGACATCCCAGTTAGTCCTGTCAAAACAGTCCTGTAGCTGCCGAGAGGCACCCTCGGGCCAAGTTTTTACAGTCTTTGTGATGGTAAGAGCCGTTTTCCTGAGGGGGGCATATGCAGGGATTAAAAGCAGAGACATGTGGTCCGACTGGCCCAGGTGTGGTAATGGTCAAGCCCTTTAGCCTAGCTTGATGTTCGAGTAGACCTTGTCCAGTATGTTAGCTCCTCTAGTAGCACACTTTGCATGCTGATGAAATCTAGGAAGCACTGACCCAAGATCTGCATGATTAAAGTCCCCTGCTAGGATATGCACAGCATCAGGATACCTGCTCTGCTGACTGCTTATACTGTCATGTAAGAGTCCGATAGCCGAGTTAGCATTAGCATCCGGTGGGATGTAAACAGCACTTATCATGACCACAGTGAACTCTCTCGGGAGGTAAATGGGCCTGCATTTAATAGTCACATACTCCAGATCTGGGGAGCAGTGACTGTCTACAGTTGCTATTGACAAACAGATAGCCCCCCTCCCCTGCTCTTACCGGAGTCCCTTGTCCTGTCATGACGCTGTGCTGTGTAGCCTACTAGCTCAATAGCAGAGTCCGGGATGAATGAATGAAGCCAGGTCTCTGTGATCAACAGAATGCAGCTGTCCTTCATGATGTTGTTAGTCACAACCTGTAGCCTCAGTTCATCCATCTTGTTGGCGAGTGATCTGGTGTTTGTCAGAAAAAGGCTGGGAAGCGGTGGTCTGTGTGGCTGCCTCTGTAACCTAGCTAAAGTGCCGGCCCTACAGCCTCGCTTCCGCTTCCTCTCCCTTTGCCTTCGCCACCTCACCGCGGGGATGGAAATCCATGGAGAGCCGGGGCTCCTCGCTATATCCACCGGGATCTTATGTGAACGGAGAAACTCGGCTGTAACACTCTGCTCATAACAAACTCCTATCTTAAGGAGATCATGTTCGCCCGACAGAATGACCATAGGACGAGAAACAACATGTACATAAATCGCCAAACAAAGCACAGACTAGAGAAGCACTGGTCCGCTGCAACAGTGTGTGCCGCCAACTTGCGATATAGATAGATAGATAGATAGATAGATAGATAGATAGATAGATAGATAGATAGATAGAGATTTTGCCAAAGTGAAAACAGAAGGTGGAATCCAGAACATGAAGATGTTTTTCTCCCAATCTATGGGTTAAATGTAATATTCATGTGCTTAAGACCCGACAGAATGACCATAGGACGAGAAACAACATGTACATAAATCGCCAAACAAAGCACAGACTAGAGAAGCACTGGTCCGCTGCAACAGTGTGTGCCGCCAACTTGCGATATAGATAGATAGATAGATAGATAGATAGATAGATAGAGATTTTGCCAAAGTGAAAACAGAAGGTGGAATCCAGAACATGAAGATGTTTTTCTCCCAATCTATTGGTTAAATGTAATATTCATGTGCTTAAGATAAATATAAATGAATAACATACATAAACATGAAGAAAAGACACACCACATTTTGGCATTCTGCTACTAGGCATGCCATCACATTTACTGAAGCTTTGACTGGTGCAAACAGCGCTGGGTGCAGGACAAACAGCAAGAAAATAGCTCAGGGTGGCAACAGAGTGGGAGGGCATGAGCAAACACACTCGAACCAACGAGACCAAGCCAAAGCATAGGCAGTGACAAATACACACAGACAAATCTGAAGCTTTCTTACTGGTGCTCTCACACAAGTGACACATTTGCACACTCTGCCTAAGCTCCTTGGCTTACCGATAGTAGCTGTGTGTTTAGGACTGGACCCAGTCTGGCCAAAACTGTGTTTCCCAGCTGTAAGAGAGCAGAGTGAACACTGATCCACTCCCAGGTCAGAAAATGCGAGGCCGCTTAGCATGTTTAATATCTCCACTTAAAAATGGTTTTCAGTGGCCTGCACAATATCTATCAGTAAAAAATAACGTTCCAGTTATAACGAATGAAACAGTCTAGACTGCAAGCACTTATGTCAGTGATGCAGTTTTCTTGCTTTTACCACTGTGCTTGCTTGCACTACAGTCATATTTCAATTTCAATAATGGTGATATAAAAAATAGAAAATATTCTTACAACTGATTGAAAAGACTAAAAGACTCTCATCACTGATTGGACAGACCTCCTGCAGCACATTTAAAAAGCATGTGTTCTGTTAGCAACTGCAGCCAAACATTGAAAACTTGAGAGTGAAAACAGACAAATCATAACAAAATGGACTCAACCCTAAAAAGAACATCAACTGTGAAATCAGGGATAAATAGCACAAACAATGAGGTGTGCATCCCCATAATATTATTAATTTTACCTTTTACCTTTGGTCTCCACAGTTTTAAATATTTGGTTACATCCTTAACATTAATTAAAGTGATTTTTTCTTGCATATGAATTATTAAACAAAACATTTGGAAAGTATTAATGAATTTTATGAATATATATATATATATATATATATACACACACACATATATGTTCAAAATGTTTTATTAAGCAAGGATGGAGTAAATTATTCAAAAATGATAGTAAATTAGTTTATAATGTTGCTACAAAAGATTTCTTTCAAATAAATTATGTTCGTTTAAACTTTCTATTGATCAAGGAATCCTGAAACATTATATTATGGTTTCTACAAAAATATTAAGCAGCACAACTGTTTTCAACATTGATGATAAGTCTGAAGGATCACTAAAACCTGGAGTTGCCATCACTAGATTATTTTATGTTATAATATTTCACAAAATTAAATGCAGCCTTGTTGAGAAACAGAGACTTCTTACCAAAACATTAAAATAAATCTTTTACAGATCCCAAACTTTTGAACGTATAGCGTGAACGTGTTTTGAAATGTAAACATTTCAATTTAAATTCACTAACGACTCTGTCCTGAAATATGAAAAGCATCTGTTAATCACTTAATAGGTTTAAGTGAGCGGTAATTAGTGCAGGAGTCTTGGTCTAGACGGCTGCGCTGGTGCTCGCAGCAGAAGCGATAATGACAGGTTCCGCAGCAGTAGATGTAGGTGCCCTTGGTGCAGTTGAAAGTGTTGTCGAACTGTCCCATCACATCGTAGTAGCCCTGACACACGTCCACATCCACCAGGCGCCGAGGAGGAGGGGCCACCTGCGCGGCGCCCAGCGGGGGCTTCAGGGCATCGGCCGTCACATTGCGGGGTAGCATAATCTGCGGCAGGGGTCTCGGAGGGACCTCGGCTGCCTCTGGCTCTGCCGCCATGGCTGCTGCCTCCTTGCCCCTCACATCGGGCTGAGGGAACTTGCGGCTGCGTCCTCGCAACAGAAGCAGCACCGGACCCCCATTCATGGAGGAGCGTTCCGAGGTAATAGTCACTGTGGAGACCACAGGGCCAAACAGGAAGAAAAGCAAGATGGCAGCGGGTGGCATCTTCATACAATGGGCGTTTATTTTATCAAAGATGAAAAAAATGTGAAGCCTTCGTACAAAAGACTTCAGAGGACTACAAAAAGCTGTCAGTGTGGCAATATATAAGACATGTAGACAAGTTAATCTCTCTTTCACATGTGCATACACTAGTATGCAAATAATTTCATATGCAAAATGCACATCCAAGTGCGGGAGCTCGGGTTAAAGAAAATAAGCAAGAGACTCTCAGTTAAGGTGTAAACATATTTCTGAGGAAATTATTAACTAGAATGAGGTAAATCTATATAAAAGTTTTATGCGTAATGGGTGAGAGCTGGAATGTTTGAAAATTTTGATTTGGCACAAAATTAAATATTTGGAATCTTCTCAATTAGCAAATTGTATAAAACAACAGCTTTAAAAATATGGAAATGACTCAAATGCAAGATGTAATGAACAAATATTTGAGTCTTTTGTTGCAAGCAATTTAGTCCTGTAAACAAAATGTATATTTTACCAATGTAAACCTTTTAAAGTGTCACAAAGTCATGGGAACAGCTTCTTCTTAAAGGTGGTTTTGTTTAAGTCTGTGTAACTGAACTGATCTATGGCACTAACAATTCATTCAAGACTCAATCGGAGTTCACCTTATGGGCAACGTGTAAACATTTCTGTTCGAGTGTAAACCAAATGTTTTCTATTCTGGTTGGCACTTCAGTTCGACTCACTAAACAACTGTATAGAAAGAAACAGTTACTAGTGCTCAGCTATTCCGTGTGACTTGTAAACAATTGTCATCGTCAGCTCCAAGAACTAATGTCGTCTTGTAAACAAATCTCAGTTGGTTGCCGCTTTAGGCTTTAATCGTCAATGAGAATGTCTTGTGAGACTAACAAGAATACCTTTCAAGGTCATTGAGGTTCTGTTGTGCAGTCCACATAATCAGGCTAACATTGTCAGTTCTCAAGAAAAATACTAAGTACTTCATCTTTTTTCGAGTTTCAGGAGGAAGTCATTGAGGCTAGAGATAAAGGTAGGACGAAGCGATGAGCGAGCAATTTTAAGAGTTCAGAAAAGAGCTGATCTTTTCTCTAAAGGCGGCACCACGGGACAAAGGCTCATTACGAAGGCTTTGGAAGAGTGTAGGTCGGTTAGGGCACTCACGAAGTGTAACAAGCAGCAGGTATATATTAGTTCCTGGTTTGATGACACAAGTCAGGCCAGAAAGGAAGAAGTGTTCAGGAAAGGAAGAGAGAAAATGGAAGGATGGACTGAGTCTAGGTAAAGTTTGAGGGTCTATGTGTGTTGGACCCTCTTGCGTGAGTGTCTCTGCTCTGGATTTAGCTCAACCCAACAGAATAAAACAAACGGGGGCTTGGGCCCAGTTCTGGCAGGACAGCATGGTTGAGCCCACTGAACAGGCATGAACAAGTCAGGATTCATCCGTCAATGTGGAACACGTGGAGATCGTCAAGCAAACGCACCAAAAGACCTATCCTAAATGTTAAAGAGCGTCTTTTCAAGTAGTGGGACAACTTCAAACGTCGTCCCACTGTCAACACAGTAAACGCGTCAATGGCTCGCTGGTGAATATGGCAGATTATGGAACATCAAACCTGGACCACCGTTGAACATGAACACAAATATTCCTGAATATACCCATGCAGCTGCTCTTCCCGAATGACCAAGCCGAATCCTCGCAGTGATGGCAGGGATCTTGACGTTAGTATGGCTATGAGACGTATGGCTTCAGTATCTAAACCCTTCAGGGACTTCTGATGGTTCTGCTCTAAATGTGCAGAGTCTGTAGAGGAGGGAGGAGCAAACGAGATGGATGACTAAAGAGATCTGATGGAGAGGATGAGTTCAACGGGCCTTTGTGAGAGGAACGGACGACTAATCAACAGAATTAGCAGCAGCTCACTTTGGAAAGTTTAATGAGGCTTGTGCCAGCCATCCATAAGCCCGTCCATCCATCGATCAATCGATCAGGATCCAAACTCTCTCAGGCTAATGCATTCGTAACGGCCACTCTTACATAAAGCATGTTTAACCAATAATGTACTGTTTTCCCTATTTTGGGGAGTGAAAGCTGCTTGTTGTTTTTGACTTAAACCAAGTGATGCACATATAAACTTTCCACCTTGGGAACCGTTACATGCTATTATAGTAAAAAAAGACTAATAGTGAAGGTAAGGTAAAAATTGTGAACTAATGTCAGTGGAAATTGAGTTTCAATGGCTTAAATAAAACTGCAAAAATACTAGTGAAATAATTTCTTGCTTCTGGTTGGCACGGTTAGTGTTTGGCACTGGTTTTGGTAGCAAAAAGTCAAAGAGAAAATCTTCAATCTGTGCAAATCAACATCCTTTCAAAAAGCCCCTGGTTCACAAAGACAGTGCTAGTTCATCTGCTTTAGAAAAGAAGACGACTTGTATTCCTGGCCAGGACTCCAGTCGTTTTCATCCAGGCTGATGGCTCTTCGTCTTGGCTTCTGTTTTCCTTTGCAAGTCTTGGATTTTCACTGAAAGACAAAAGGAAGTTAAGAATTAATCAAATACCTGATCTGTAATGAGCTAAAATGCCCAACATGATATATCACAATCAGCACAGTACAAGAAATGAAAATATAGGAAATGAACAGATGCAATACATACTGTATCAAGGTGCATACATTGACAACATCTTTTACAACATCTGAACAAATTTTAATGCATTAGTTTTTGCAATACTTTATGTATTCACAACCCCAACGTCTTATTAATATTCCTTCTACCAATTAATTTTTGAAATTATCACATGCTGTAGACATGTTTCTTAATACAACAAACATTATAATAATTAGGCAATAATTTCAGTGGGCAGCACTGCTTCATGTTAATGAAACTTGGAATAAAATCAAAATAGGATGATGAACAGAAGAAGATCTTGATATTAAGGAGCTTTAGGCACAACACAGAATTGCATTGTTTACAAGTGCCAATTCACGTCACAACGTGCAATAATCCTGCTTTAAATGTAACCTATCCTCTTAAAATTTAAAGTCAGAAGTAATAGTTTCATTGTTTTTTTAACATAATTGCATTATGTGAAGCAGTAGCTGTACTGATGCCAGACTATTTTTTGTTTAAATAAGTGAAAATAAATCAAATTAAATAGTGTTTTTTAATGTAATTTACTGAATTATCCAAATGATACATTACCATATAGTTATTTAATAAGCCATATTTCTTCAATTTTCCCATTAAAATAATTATATTGTACAATAAACTAGCTATATATACACACCATAACAGTGATATAAAATTACTCACTCTGTGATAAAAGATTTTGGTTATAATTCTGACACTGACATATGTGACCCTGGACCACAAAACCAGTCATAACAAGTAGCACAGGTATATTTTTAGCAATAGCCAACAATACATTGTATGGGTCAAAATTACTATTATTATTTTTCTTTTATGCCAAAAATCATTAGGATATTAAGTAAAGCTCATGTTCCATGAAGACATTTTGTACATTTCCTACCATAAATACATAAAAACTTAATTTTTGATTAGTAATATGCATTGCTAAGGACTTCATTTGGACAACATTAAAAAAATTTTTTTTGCATCCTCAGATTCCAGATTTCAAATAGTTGTAGACCCTTATGACTGGTTTTGTGGTTCAGGGACACACATACAGTGGGTACGGAAAGTATTCAGACAAAGGGTCTGAATACTTAGGACCATGTGATATTTCAGTTTTTCTTTTTTAATAAATCTGCAAAAATGTCAACAATTCTGTGTTTTTCTGTCAATATGGGGTGCTGTGTGTACATTAATGAGGAAAAAAAAATAACTGAAATGATTTTAGCAAATGGCTGCAATATCACAAAGAGTGAAAAATGTAAGGGGGTCTGAATACTTTCCGTACCCACTGTATATACTGTATATATATACATATATATATACACACACACACACACACACACATTCAATCATGCAATTATGACAATCAAGAAACTATTTAAAATTTGTGACAATTATATCAGGTTCGAATACGCTTGTATGTTGTTTCTATTCAACAAAACCAAAGTCATCCAAAATCATATGGCTGTGAATCCCATCATCCTCCACGATCAACAAGGTGCAAAGCGTATGCAATATGCACACCATATTTTCTGCATATAGTAGTGCGACCTCAGCTTTCTCACATACTGAGTCACACATTACGGCAGTGAATAACATGCTCATGTTAGCATAGCTGATGCAATACAGTGAATCTTAAACCCTCAATGACAGCACCAGGCTCAAAATCTGGTACAAAACAGTGTAAAAACGCCACTAAAAAGGCTTGTGGGAACATACTGAAGGCTTAATACATTCAAAGAGGTGCAGCTTTGGACGAAGGGAGAGAGGAAGCGGGGGGTGACACAGACACAGATGTGTGCCGAGTGGGGGGTTGGCAGGGCAGAGAGAGACCCTATTGAGAGGAGAAGAGAAGACAGGAAGGATGCAGGGATGGGGGAGGAAGGGTCTTTGGGACCCTTATAGAAGAAGGGACGAGGGGAAAAGAGCAAGGCTACGCACCTTTCAACGGTCCCTAACATGCAGCAACCAAGTGCATCTTATGCCCTTTCGTTTTACAGCGCGCTTTACGCTCACCGAGATGCCTCTTTTACGGAGTTGCCATCGGCAACGCCTTGTGTGGCTAATGATGTGAAGCGGAGAGACAGGGTCCTGGAAGCACGGGCTGCCTCACAGATGTGCTGTACAGCATCTGCACATACTCCTCTGACACACATGCACACTAACTCTCCAAAGATGGCCTGAGCGTGCCACACTACACGCCTCTCGTCCTTCCTTCTCTCTCAAACACTCTTTATTTTTCCCAATCTGTTTGTCAGAGCGTGGGTCGAGAGTGTTCTCTTAGAATAGCTCTGCTGCAGTGAGTGAGATAGAGAGGGATGTGACATAGCGATGGGCAGATGGATCACCTCGCTTAGCTCGCTCATTTTATCCTCCCTTTGCGGTAAATATCCTACATGCTTCTTCCTATAAGCGAGCACAGTACACATCTCCACTCAGCCGCCTCTTCCTCTCCATTCCCCACCCCCTTCATCCTCCTCATCATCACCATCAACCCTGTTTCTCTGACTCAGGAGGATGGGAGGCATCTGTCCCATCCACAAACAGGTGCAGATGACAGATGTCAGGCCAATATGCAGCCCATTACCATTTTACTTGAGCGAGCACACACTGAAATGGGGATGGAGGGATGAAGGTTAGAAAGAGGACAGTAGGCCTTGGGAGACAAAATGAAAGTATCTTAGGATTTAGGGAAATTGTGGTAGTTAGCAACAAGTCCTAGTGCAAAAAAGCTGTGTGCTGTTATTTACAGATGGACACGAACAAAAGAAACGAACAAAGACATCTAATAGTCAACTGATGAGTGAAGGATTTGCTTAATTATTACATTTTGCGACACTTGAATGCTGGTGTTCACAATGCGCCACAGTTAGAAGTGACAGAAGCCGTTAACAAACAAACAAACAGACATGCTAGTTTTTCTGTCACACAGCGAGCACTTTCCATTGACTTCTATTGTTGTTATACTGAGATAATTACATTTTCGTTCCCTTACCCCTAAAGTTATCCTTACCTTATCGCAGCTTTAGTTTTCGTTTAGCATTATTTAGTCCACAAATCCTGACCCACACACACACACACTATAGCAAGCTATACACCACAGCAGCAGCATCATGGCATGGAAATTAAAATTCCAGTGGCGGACGACACACGCTGTGCGACACCAATCCCCATGACATGTATTCATTCCCAAATCTTATGTTCGTTATGAATACTCCCTATTTAGCTCATAAAAATGTCTTTACACACAGAAAATAAGCAAAACCCGCAAAGCAAGGGCTGTAACGAGCGAGCTATGTGTATGCGATCCTTGCGCACGTTGCAGCAGTAGCAGCATCAGATGGGAACAAAATGAAGGCACGTCTTACCTGCGTGTGTTGCAACAGCTGCCCGCTTCGAATCTGTGGGAAATGATGCGGAGACTGAAGGAAATGTGACACAATAACCGTTCAAAGTTATTGTTGCCCTCTCTTGTCTGACAGCAAATTGAATGAGATGATGCAGCACTCGCAGTATTCACAGAGATGGGGTCTTGCGTTTCTTTACAGCTCTTGGTTCGTAGAAAAAGACGCAGTTTTGTGGCATTGGCGATGGGAGAGCATCTCATTTAAAGGCGAATAAATCCTGGATGGTCTACAAAAAAATGTCAGTTTCAAAATATAGTTTTCATTGAGTCATAAAAAGACGAAAGGAATAAGTGGACGTCCAAATATTAGCAAAAAATATCGACCGTGCGTAATTTACAGTCCAACGAGAAAATAAAACGCATAATATTCCGTGCATCCAGGTCAAAATTGTGTGGGGTTTTTTTCATATAAAACGCTATTGACTATGCACAGTCTAATCCGTGAGTTGCCAAATAAGCATAAAACAGCTGATTAATTAGACGTGCCCGGTAATTTCCGTTTCCCTACTATTTAAATGACCGTATTATTCCGCTTTCACCACAAATTCAACGGGCTCCACACTCACTAATAGAGATCTACCTCCGCGCCACGGAAACGCAATTGCTCCCACAAAGGTCCGCTTCGCTCAGTTTACATCAATCGATTGGAGCGAACAGATGCTTGCGCGTGGTTTCATGTGCTACATGTTGGAAATGACCTGCCAATCGCTGGCACGCGTTATTGGCCGAGAACGTCTTTCTACGCGAGCTGGGTTTTTAGGGAAAATCAACAGTCGCTCGTGCGCAGAATGGCAGAGATTCTAACTCCTAAACGCGTGCTAGATTTTAACTTATTTGTGCGTGAAAGAAATGAAGAACAGGATGAGTTAAAATAATAGAGCTTAGGTCTTCCATTTGCGCGAGAGAAATGTATAGGCTATAAAAAGTGTTGCGCCGATGGTTGCTGTGGTAACCGCAGCATCCCTTGACGGATCTGGATTGATAGTGAATCTGAAGAAATCTGTCAAGAACATGTCCTGGTCAGTTTTGAGGATAAATCAAATTTTAGAAAGAACATACTATAAATATTTTGAGTTTTAATGGACTATTAAGATTACTATTATGACAGTATGCCCTATTCAATAATGCAGACGATATCCTTCTTATTAGAATAAAATAATACCATGTTAGAAAGTATTTGTATTAGTAAAAAAAATACTAGTATTTGTCCTAAACCCTGTAATTTGGACAATTTTATATATATATATATATATATATATATATATATATATATAAAAACTACTACTAAAAAGTGTAGGCTACTGTACTTTCAACATTACAGAAATTGGAAGAAAGAAATTAGAAAATAAATTACCCTCTTGCATTGATGAAAATTATTTGAAGGAAAACGAGAATAATAATTAGTGAAATAAAACGTCAGAAAACATGATAATTGGGGTGGGTGGTGTCTTATAAAAATGATTTTAGATATAACAAACTGTATCTTTTATTTGTATTTAAAAATATTTTCATTACAGTGTAATTATTGTGTTACATTACAGTGTATATTGTATCTTTACAGTGTAATTATACATTTCAGTTCTGAGTAATATTAATTAACTACATGGTTAAGGTTAGGATTAGGGTTTGGTTTAGGGTTGCTTGCATGTAATTATGCATAATTAATTGTTATTATAATCGTAAGTACATGTAACATATGTAACAAGGACACCTTAAAAAAGTGTAACCTTATTATTATTTTTAATATTATATAAATATATATATATATATATATTGTTAAAAAAGTAGTCTACTGTACTTTCAACATTACAGTAATTGTAAAAATGAAAGTAGAAATAAATTACCCTCTTGCATTAATGAAAATTATTTTAATGAAAACGAGAATAATTAGTGAAATAAAACGCCAGAAACCATGATAATGGGGGTGGGTGATGTTTTATGAAAATGATTTTAGATATAACAAACTGTATCTTTTATTTTAAAAATATTTTCATTACAGTGTATATCTTTACAGTGTAATTATACATTTCAGTTCTGAGTAATATTAATTAACTACATGTACTTGTGGTTAGGGTAAGGATTAGGGTTTGGCTTACTTGCATGTAATTATGCATAATTAATTGTTATTATAATAGTAAGTACATGTAACATATGTAACAAGGACACCTTACAAAAGTGTAACCTTATTTTTATTATATTAAAAAGAATATATATTATTTATTAATATAATATTTAAATGATTATTATTATTAATATATTAAAATATGATATTACTATAATTATCATTAAGTAAACTATCAAATTATTCTTCAGACAAAATTAGAGCTATTATTGCATATAGGTTGTCAACGTCAAGCGGTCACAGCAATGCGACATGATATATATCTAAAACCATTTTAAACACAGTTTGACTAATTATTGTATCATAATTACACTTCTTATTATATTTAAGCTGTTTTATCATATTGAGAATTTTCCGGAACGGGACACAGGATTATTAAACTGCAAAACAGGTGATTAAAATGGTTTAACATTGATTAAATAAATGTTCACATTCTGTTTTTCTACCCATTGCTACCTATGTGTTACTGAAGAATGCCTCCTCCTAATTGAATGTTGATTGTGAAGTCACTTGGCCTAAAGTCTCTCACTAGTGGCTCCTGCAGTAGCAGAGATGATGCCATGCTCCATGCATGTGAAATCTTCAGAAGCTGACACTGGTTATCTCAGATCGTGGAAAGGCAAGATGGTTTCAGGAGGCGTTCTGGAGGAGACAGCATTGTTCTCAAGTATCATACAGCAGTCTGAAGGCAACACACACTTCAGGACATTCCGATCTGCAGTGACGTGAGAGCGAATGTTTGTATTTGGGGCATGACATGACTCCCTGTGTTGCTGGAGGCAATAGTGGGGTCAGTCTTGTCGCTGTGGGAGCTTCATGGTAGTGAACCTGCCAGAAGTGCTCATAGCCTTCGCACACGCATGTAAACACACACAAACGCGGTCTCACACACAGCCAGATGACTCAAACCCTCCTGCAGCCGCTGGCCCAAACCAAATGCGTCACAGAGCCACACACAAAAATAATCAGACACAAAAACATGGAATCACGCGCTCACACATGCGTGAACGGATGAAAAATGTGAAAAACAGGTTGAGGTGTGGGACAAGTTCAAGGATGGTGTTTTGTTAAAGCGGTTCAACACCAAAGTATAAAGAATTCTGGTTGCTACTGAGAGGTTTTGCCAAGCGCCAATATGATGGCAATGCATTGGTGTACTTGCCTGAAATTCGTCTTTTTCGCAATGAATACTAACCCACAAAAGAGCTTGGTTTTCTAATGTAAAAAAAGTTGTTAGGTTTGAAATGATAAAACATCAGATTTACTGTTCAAAATGCTAAAGAGAAGTGCATTGGACTGGATTGTGTTAGCGCCATACATTCACAAAAAAAAAAAAGGTATGTATAAAATGTTCGGATAATAAGCTAAAAAATATGGCTCAGAAAAGCCAAGTTAGTTTTGAGAAGCTCTATGTTTGTTTGCAGATGCCATTTGATTTGATATTTTGTTTTCTAATGTAGTAACAAGTCTCCACTATTTCTGGGGCAACTGTATATCCAAAAGTGTGTAACTCCAATTTGTACTTTACAGTCCAAAGGTTTGGGATGGGTAAGATTTGTAGATGTTTTTCAAATAAGTCTCTTATGTTCACCAAGGTTGCATTTTTGATCAGAAACACAGTAAACAGTAATATTGTGAAATATTCTAACAATTATATACATATAAAAACTAGTGCTGTCAAACGATTAATCGCGATTAATCGCATACTAAATAAACTTTTTTGTTTGCATAATATATGCGTGTGTTCTGTGTATATGTATTATGTATATATAAATACACACACATACAGTATATCTTTTGAAAATATTTACATGTATTTATATGTCTATATTAATATTCCTATAATTTATATGATAAATAAATATATTTAATATATAAACAACCTATTTTTGAGAAATATATACATGCATGTGTGTAAGAAATCTTGCTTGTTTGTAGGTGACCAAATACTTATTTTACCGAGGACTTTACCAATTAATTCTTTAAAAATCCTACAATGTGATTTTCTGGATTTTTTTTTCTCATTTTGTCTCTCATAGTTGAGGTATACCTATGATGAAAATTACAGGCCTCTCTCATCTTTTTAAGTGGGAGAACTTGCACAATTGGTGGCTGACTAAATACTTTTTTGCCCCACTGTATACATAATAAATATACACAGTACACACACATATATTATGTAAACAAAATCTTTTATATTGGATGCGATTAATCGTTTGACAGCACTAATAAAAACTTTTTAAAATGTAATTTAATCCTGTGATGGCAAAAGTTGAAATTTCAGTATTTCCAGAATTTTTGTAACATGATAAATGTCTGTGCTGTCACTTTTGATGCATTTAATGCATCCTTGCAGAATAAAAGTATTAATTTATTTAAAAAAATATTACTGACCCTAAACTCTTGTATATGTAGTACGGTAGTATATGCTTTCAGTAACACAGAGAATTGACTACAAGGTTTTCGGTAATGAAACAGCAATGGAAATGATTTCTACATTAAACCAACAACTGCCTTTTTTCTTAATGAGCCAAAGATTTAAGCATTGGCCATCACTGAGCAAAGCACAGACTGAAAGCCAGTCTAGAACAGCTTATGTGAGTGATGTGGAATGACAGATTTCTTCTCTGCACTCTGAAGTACCACTGCTTCAGCTCCATTTCCTAGTGAGAAACCATAAGCGATCATGAACCAAGAGAAAACACAGATGCTCTGACTTTCAAAACCTGCCCCTCGCTCTGCTTCCACCCGGCAAACAAATAACAAGCAGAAGGATACGAACAGTGAAAAGTCCCAGAGCTGTTGTACTGTATATCAATACTCTCAGAACGACACTCGAGGACCGGAACTAACTGAATTATAATGGGACTAAATTAAAATGATAATCAATTTCTTCACGAGGCAGTCAAGAAATTATGTTACTGGAGACAGTCTCATGAGAACAATGTAATTCAAAACACATGCTCGGCGATGAAGAAAACCCACACACCCTCTTTTTGAAAAGTAGTTCTTTTAATTATATTTTACAGTCTTTACTTTCTTTGCAATGCTTTATTTACTATGTTTTTTACTCCAGCCCACCTTGCAAGTGTAATTTTCCATGCTGTTCAAATGGAAG